CCCACCCCCCCAACCACACCACCCCCCCTCCCAGGCTGCATCCCAGCTCACAGCCCAGTTAAGGATGCCAGTTGCCAACTGCCTCCCTGTGCGTTTGCAGGTGACCGAGGGACCCCAGCGTGAGGTGCGGGGGGACACTGGAGCATCATGGCACACTCCGTCTCAGCCTTCCAGGCTGCCTACATCTCCATCGAAGTCCTCATCGCTTTGGTCTCCGTGCCGGGGAATATCCTGGTCATTTGGGCTGTGAAGATGAACCAGGCGCTGCGGGATGCCACTTTCTGCTTCATCGTCTCACTGGCAGTGGCCGACGGGGCGGTGGGGGCTCTGGTCATCCCGCTGGCCATCATCATCAACATCGGACCGCAAACGGAGTTTTACAGCTGTCTCATGGTGGCCTGTCCCGTCCTCATCCTCACCGAGAGCTCCATCCTGGCGCTCCTGGCCATTGCTGTGGATCGATACCTGCGGGTGAAGATCCCCGTCAGGTAGGAAAACCCATCGGGACAGGCACTGCGGTGGCTGCTGTGGGGGTTAAAAGGGAGTGAGGATGCCCCAAACTCTTGAAGAATCCCTGAGAGAAGGGTCTTCCTCCACATTGCTGGCCTGGGCACATATGGCCACAGCAGCAACTGGGGCAAGCTGGGCTGGGGAGGGGGGGTCCCAAAGCCTCTGGTAGTTTTGCTTGGGGGTGCAGGGGGGTGCTGGGGGTGCAGGCAGAGATTGCACCATGGCAGCCAGCAGCCAGGGCAGGGCAGCCCTTCACGGAGTCCCTGTGGCCGGGACAAATTGTGTCCTACCGCAGATGGGAGAGCACCGCCAGGGTGCTTCAGGGAGTGGAAAGGGGAGGATAGATTTGTCTTCAGCCCAGGTGTTCCCTTGCTGTGGGGAGCCCCGGAGCCTGGGGCTGATAACCTGCTTGCCCACGGACGTGTGGGACACAGCTTTGGGCTTTTGAGGGACCAGAGGTGACAGCCCGGCACGTCTTATGGGGCAGGCTTACCCGGGAGACACCCCTGGCTATGGGGCTGTCCCACATATGACTCGTCTCCCTGTTTTTCCCCTGCTCATCATCTGTATCTGTTGTCAAAGCCACGACCATAGCAAATACCATGGGGCATAACGGGGGGATGCACTTTGTTTGAACTCTGCTGCTCCTGGAGGAGATATTTAACCAGTTCGTGGCCGGCTCCCTCCCCACCGGTGCGGTGCTGCAGCCCCTGGGGCTGGGGGGGAGGCAGCCGGGGTGCCACGGTGGGACCGGGAGTGTCAGCAGGGCTGGAAGGGGATGTGACACCCGGTGTCGGTGCTGCTGGCATGCAGCCCGCACGTCCCGGCTCAGCCCCTTGCTGTGTGGTCACTGTCGCTGGTCCCCCTTGCTCTGTTTGAGGACGTGCCCGGGCTGCAGGGACACCTTTGCCATGCTCATCAGCTCGGGGAAAGCTCCCGCTGCTGAGACCATTGCTGGAAAACTCAGCCCAACCAGGACGGCTGAGCACACACACAGCTCGTGTCACCCCACTGGCACTTTTGCACCTCAGACACGGGCTCCAGCCCATTTGCTGGAGGGGTCCATGACCCTTCATCAGCACAAAGACCCCCCCAAAAGGTACCAAACCCCCTTGTGTTAGCTGCTGCTCAGACCTCAACAAGCGCGGGACCCTTCCCGGGGCAGCAATCACCTTCCCATAGAGGGAATTGGGGACCAGAGGCACTTGCTTTGTGATCAACTGACTGCTCGGTGTCCCCCAATCCACCAGATCAGGCCAGAGATCTGTTGCTTTGGGGATTTTTCCCCCAGCCGTGGCCGGCACAGGCTGCTCGGCGAAGGAGCATAAGGCAGATGGGGGGGGCACAGGATAAAACCATGGTCCCTGCCCCCCCCCTCCCTGCCACACATGATTTCGCAGGCTGTTCCCCACTTCCTCCCTAAGTGTGATTTTTCCTGGGCTGAAAAATCATCGTCTTCCAGCCCGTCAGTGTAACCGAAGCGATTCTCACCCTGTCATTGCTCTCGGTGCTTTTTTTGGTCCTCCTGCATCCCCTGCGCTGTGGGGATGGTTCAGGTGTGGGAGGACTGAGGCTTTATACATAGCAACACTGCCTGGCTCATGTCTGTCATTTTTCTAACAAACCCAGTCTTTTTTTCCTCCCTTGCTGCCTCTGAGCATCAAATGGGCCTTTTAGGGAAGATTTCTGCCCTGAGCCCAGCAGGTTTCCTGGGAGTAGTATTAAGTTAGAGCCCCCCCCGCCCCCCCCGGCATCCTGTATATAGTTTGGGTGGTTTTTTCTCATAAAATATTGACTCAGAATTTGGTCATCCCATTTCGTGCCCGACCACTCAGCATCGTGAGATCTTCCGCTGACTTTTTGTAGCTTACTTTAATATTGAAAGGCTTCGTAGCCTCAGCAAGAAGGGTTTGGCTTCCCCAGATCTCCTGTTCACTTATCCCTCGGTGTTTCCTTCTTTCCCTGGCGTGAATTCCCGGCAGTTGCCAAATGCGGTGATTTTAGGTGATATTGTGCCATAGACACAGCAGCAGCAGAACAACATTGGAGATGGCAAACAGGACAGAAAACGCCACTAAAGAATATTCCCTGAATCTCAAATGCCTCGTTTCTCCCAACCTGTTAGATGCTGAAAGACGATACTGAAAACATTTTTACAGTGCTGACAGCTCGAATTGCGGCTTCATGGTGTCGTTCCTCACCGTGACACTGAACCCACTGGTGTGCAGATGGGTGCTGGGTGCTGAAAGCCTGCGGCACCTTGGCAGGACTTGGGTCCCTGGCAGGACATCCACCGTGGGACCTTGTCCATCGTAGGCGCCCTGGAAGAACCCAACTCCCTCTCTAGCAAAGCTCCCCCTCAGCCTATCGCCCTTCACCTTTATATTTGGGCTCTGTGGCCACGTCTCTGTGGGTTTGGGACCTCCCCAAGCAGGGCCAAACGGAAACAACACAGGAGGAGGAGATGCCCGTGCCCACGCGTGGCTGCTTGGGCATGGCAGATGCCAGGGACAACTGTTAATTCCCCAGGGTTCCATGGGCAGAAGCAGTCCAGGGCAGTGACAGCATCCCACAGAGACCTGCAGGCAGGTGGGGAGTGATGTGGGGGCATCTCCGACCAGCCACATCCCTAGGGCAGCCAGGACACGGAGCAGGGACACCCCCTCCGTCACGGGGCCAGCCAGCGTCAGATGCGGAGGGGACAGGGTCAGCAGACAGCGTTGCATGCCGCAGCCCTCTCCTCTGCCAAAGAAAGTCCCCAGATAAGCCTGGCACGGGGCGGATGCTCGCCAGCATGACACACACGTGGCCCGGAGTGGCCGAGGGGGTCTCGTGGGCTGTCATGCACGGGATCCCCCACGTCCCCCGGCCCCGCTATCTGCTCGGAGGCAGCCCTGGCTCTGCCAAGGCTCAGGGAGAGGGCACGTTGGGGAAGGGAAATAAATGCATTGCATAGAGGCAGCTGGCAGGGACTGGGAGCAGCAAGGAGAGAGGCTCCATGCATCCCTGCTCCATCCTCATGCCAACCACCCCCCAAACGCCATCTCCGCCCCGGGGGTCCCCAGCGAGTCACCGCTTGCATTTCAGGTTCCATAAAGGGGTGTGCAAGGGTTTCCGCGTCCCCATCACGTACTGGCCAACCGGGGGAGATGACAACAGGACTGTTGGCTGGGAAGAGTTGTCTGAAAGAGAAGCAAAGTCAGCACTGGACTTTCCAGGCTTTCTATTTAATTAGGCGGAGCAGGGACTGGAAGCGCAGCTCGGCAGGGAGGGGGGAACACAGTGTATCGCGGCTCGGCTGCCGGTTGCACATGATCACCCCGGCCCCAGGGACTGGCGGTTCGGGGGAGCAGCCTACAGGTTTGCTCCTTCTTCCAGCGAACACATGGACCCATCCGCTGCCCGTGCTCCCGGCCGGAGAGCGAGCCCTGGGGGGAAATCAGGAGCTTTGCATCTCCCCAGGGTGGGTGTCTGCTGGCAGCACATCTTGAGCAAATGGTGCCCTGGGACATTGGTAACACGTCTCGGGACAGCAGTGGGAGGTGCCCAAGTGGCATCCAGTGCTCCATCTCAGGCATCCTCCTCGCTCCGGTGGCCGTGTTGCCCATGGACACAGAAACACAGAGGAACGTGGGCCACTCGTGCAAGGCGGAGGCAGATTTTGCGGGATGGAGAGGGGTCTTGCCTGGCTCTGAGTTAGCAGCTCCTTACTCCTGCTCTTAGGGGTAAAAGTGCACACCTGGCATGGTCAGGGTACGACCAGGACATCCCACCGAACGCTATTCCACAGCCCCAAACCCCTGGGTAGTATCCCTCCTGGCTGCCGGCATCTGAAGGATGCTGCCATCCCTCCCCCCTCCCAAGGGGCCTTTTCTTGACTCTGGAGGGATGCAGGAGCATCGCTTGGGCTGAGCAGTCTGGAGTGGAGGATACCACGCTCCCCAGCCTCCACAGGAACTGCTCTGAACAGCTGGAAACCACCTAAAATAGGTTTGCTGCCTTCGTGCTGGTGGAAAAGCTCACATCTCCCCTCTTGCATCCTTCCTCCCCAGTCGGTGGCAAGGCAGGACCCCCGTCCTGTCGTCCCCCCCCAGCCAGGCACAGTGGGGTCCCCCGGCCCAGTCCAAACTTCCCTCTCGCATCTCGGGGAAGATGAAACGAGTTCAAAGGGAGGGGAAGCAGCCGACCGGGGCTGTCCGGCAGGAACCGGCCCCTCAGCATCCCCACGGTGGTGGCTGGCGGCAGGATGCTGGAGGGGACGATGCTGGAGGGATGTTTGTGGGGGGATGTAGCTCCTTCGGCACGAGCCTCCGCTGGCCCAGGGGGCCCCCGTCTCTGCTCGGAGATGCTGCGTTGGGCTTTTTGGAATGGGCCATGTCAGAAGGAGCTGGTGTCCTTAGGACATGCTGCACCACAGCCCCTTGGCTAGGGATGCTGGATGCATGGATGCAGCCTGATCCTGTCTTGGCATGTCCTGGGGGGTCCTCGCCTTGTCCACTTCAGTTGGACCACCATCTCTTTCCTCAAACACTTTGAAACGTGTGCCAGGAAGATAAAAACTGGAGAAATCTACTGATTTCTCAGCAGAGACCTTGTACGTGGGGTCTCTCGCTCCACAGCAGGGACCTTCACCCTCTGTCCCTGGGCTTCAACATTGTTCCGCGTCCCCCCTCCCCCCCCCAGCCCTGCCCTTCCCACCCTGAGGCATCCCGAGGAGCATCCTGCCAGGGCGAGCTACGTTTTTTGTTGTGGAAGGTTTTGAATGTAGATGTGAGGCTGCAGAGCCGTGGAAATTAGACCAAACTGGGCTGGAAATTGCTCGGAAATGTGGGGGCAGGAGGCTAGGGGAGAGCCTGGGGTAAAGCAGGGTCTGTGGGTGGCTCTGTGGACAGTGCAGACATTCACCGGTGGTTCAGAAGTGCCCTGTCCTGAGCCTTATGAGATAAAACGGTTCAAGGATGGCAGGAGCATCCCTCGG